CAAACACGAGACCCCAGAGATGAAAGTTGCAGGCCACCCTTGATCGCGCCTTGTATGTGATGACGAGTATAAGAATCAAACACGAGACCCCAGAGGTGAAAGGCGTAGGCAACCCTTGATCGTGCCTTGTATGTGATGACGAGTATGAGAATCAAACACGAGACCCCAGAGGTGAAAGGGGTAGGCCAGCCTTGATCGCGCCTTGGGCTGTTTTCTTTTCTTTAGCGCTTGTTTACCTGAACGACTGACAGTAGATAACAACGACAGAAGATAAACCTTGAACTGCATTCTTATCCATTCTTCACTCCCGTCCCATCCTATCATAGAACAGAAAGAGATGAATATTGAGGGTAAGTAAATAAATGAATGAATGAACGGATAAGTGGGAGTTTAATGAATGAATGAATCATTGAACGAATGAACAAACGAATGAAAAATGAATGAAAGAATGAATGAATGGATGAATGGATGAATGAATGATGTCTGGTTTTAAGAGTACTAACTGGAACCGTTAACCATTTGATCGACGGAAGCCAAAAACCCATTTTGTTTTGGAATCATAACTAGATGTGTGAGCTGCATAATGATCATAATGGGGTATGAAGTAGATTATGATCACACAGTGGTATCTTGAACTGAAACTTCTAACTTAATATCCAAAGATCGGAAGCATATCAGAAGGTCATAATAGGATCTTTAAAGCTGATAACATTATCGACCATAATATTAGCGATTAAATACAATGAATCGAATTCAAAAGATTTTTGAAACCAAATTTTTGTCATCCAGTTTTGTGTGTGAGTAAGAGAGTGTGCTTGTGGGTGGGTGGGTAGGGGGGCTATTTATATATGTGTATGTACAAAAGCCAGGCTGTTGTCTCGGACGTTGACCCTAGTAGTAAGGGGGCTGGCACGCGCTTAAAAAATGGTTGAACTTTGGATGCTAATATCGCACTCTAATTTTCCTTTCCTTCGAGATTTCGAGATTGCATTTTGCGCCTGTGTCAAGCAATTACTGTAAACATTGAGTCTGTCTAATTACATTTTGATTCGCATCGTGAAAGAAGCTGAAAGGTTATGATCCAAACGATTACCTAGAATAGGAAAATACTCCGCTTCCCTGTAAACAAAACGGACAAACAAAATACTGAACCAAAATGGCAGAGGATTTGATTCTAGAAAACACTAACGACATCTTTGTTTTACGATAATTGGCTGGAATTAAAGATAGATTATTAATAAACGAGCTGGAAAAACAGCCGTTTGATTCCTTTGGAAAATTAAATTTAGGTTAAAGTGAAGGAAATGATGCCGACATGACAAGCTCACRGTTGACACAGTTCACATACCATGAAATCTGTCACTGTCAACTCAGGCTTAGTATGCGAGAAGAGAGAGAAGAAAAGAAAAGATAAAAAAAGGACAGAGAAAGAAAAATAGAAAAAAAATAGAGAAGAAATGAGAAAGAAAGAGAAAGAGAGAAAAGAGAAGCGAAAAGGAAAAAAAAAGAAAAAAAAAAAAAAAGAGAGAAAGAGGTCAATCTCCAGGGATAGCATTTTCTCTTAAAAGTGAATCCATTTTTAAAAAATATTTCATTTTTTCAACCAGAAAGTCATTTCTGAACACACACAAAGATTCTATCCAACTTTCCATTGTTTTAAAAATAGCTATTTTTAGAAAACAGCTATCTCTGACGATTTATTGTTTGGTAACCAAAATATTTTGATGCCGCATCCCGCAGAATTTTGCTTTGATTCAATACCGCCATACTTTACTATAAATATAAAACTAAAACACCAAAAACACTAGCTTGATAGCAATCAAGATTGCATTCCTAAGAACCGTTCTCACTTTCGAACAACGGAAATTATGAAAAATAATCAACTTTATCATGGACAAATTAGCATTTACTTCGAAGTTTCGCGTAAATATTTCTTGGAAAATCGGAGTTTTATATGAGCCCTTTGTGAGAATTTTGTTTAAGTTTTGTTCCTTATATTCATAAATACTAATTCCTTAGTCATTTTGTCGCCTATTGTACGATAGCACGTTTAATGATCACAGGAAAAATCAATTAATATGAATTTACAAAATCCGCCGAGAGCTTTTCCGTTTTATTATCAGATTAAGACAAACTTGCTTTCTCTCTTGGCATGATTCGCTTCCTTGATCAACAAATTCATTAACGAAATAAACTCGCAGATATCTGTGAAGAAAAAATCTTACAGATAATTAAAAATACAGGGTAAATTAATGAGAGGGGGTGGAAAATCCGTAAACGTTTTAGTGCGGCTCTGTTGGATTCTGCTGTAACAGTCGTGTTGCTCATCGCTGGTTACTCTGACTTTTCAAGGTGCAAAATTGTGGAACGACAAAAAAAAAAAGGTGAAATTAGTACTTTTTACACTAGACAAGGATAAAATTGACGTAGGTAGCTAGAAACTTCGGGAACCAGATTTTATAGAATAAAATTCAGAATTTTTTTGTGAGTTAAGAAATTAATTTGTGGTTCAAAAAATTAAATTGAAAAAAAAAAAAACCCAGGTGAGGTTAGAATACTTTTTACACTAGACAAGGATAACATTGGCGTAGAAATTTTAACGATCTTCGAGAGGCTATTGTGTGTGCTTCGGAAACCAAATAAAAGTTAAAACTAAAATTAAGTGCAGAATTTTTTCGTGTTGAAAAATGAATTTCTGGGCCACAAAAAAACAATGAACAAAGAAATAATATTCAGAATCTTTTCGTGCATTTTTTTCTGTTTCATTGTTGATAACGGTTTGTTTTTATCTCCTCGAAGGAAAAATTCCAGTCCAGCTTCACTTGAAATATTACTTTTATTTACAATAAATGTGTTAATATTTTAGATTTCTTTAGATTGACCAAGATGTCTGGGAAACTCTTCTTGTTGCTAACTGTTTTGTTGGTCGCTGCGTCTTCGTACGTTTCTAGCAAAGGTAGAAATAAATAGCTCGGAAAAAATAAATAGAAACAACCTATTCTTTGATATTCAGCTTAGAATTGTGTTATATTTCAAATTTATATATAAAAAAAAACATCTATTAATGGCGCTTCAGGTTAGCGCAGAATTGTGACGAAAGAAAGAAAAGCCGTTGCGGTGGCAGAAATAGTTCAGCGAGCGCTCGTTTGTCCGGTGTAAATATAGCTAATTCAATCATCTTAAACCTGTCTTTCTTGTCCTCAGGAAAGAAAAGTTTGATTAATACCAAAAAAGATAATACAAAATGAATGTAATCCCTTTAGTTAGTAAAACTGAGAGCCAAAACAAATCAAATGATTCTATATTATAAATGTTAATTATCGAAGTTAATTGAGACAAAATCGTACCTATTTTTTTTTAATTCGGAATGACTGAAGGCTTTTTTCTTTTTCCCCAGCAAGTCCTCCAAGATTCAAGTTTCCTCTCCCCCCACCACCACCCCCAGGTAACAAATGGCTGAATTTATTTTCTTTTTTTCTTGATTTTTTCCTCGCTTTTTTCCCTAAAATATACTTTTCAAGAAATGGAAATTAGTTTAAAGATGTGGCATTCGCACACAATCGCCTGCTTGTTTAGAGCGGTTTTTGCATGAGTGGGAAACACGACGGCAAGTTCTTGGCAAATTCGTAGCCGTTCTGTAGTCGTACCGTAACTACGCGTTATGATCGGATGAAATCCTGGAAGTCGATGGGAAGACATTTCAGAGTTACAGCATGTTGTACTGTACGTGCTGTACAGTAACTGTAATATAAGTACCTAACTTAAACATCTTTTWAAAAAAACGTATACTTGACTTGACTTGGTGGTTTGTTTTTCGTCGGAGTAAACATTCAAATTTTGGAAAAAAAGAGTAAAAATATGCTTCATACATTGACTAAGCTCTAGTTTACTCGCTAGTTAGTTTTCTACGTATTTAATCGCTCGTTTGCCGGTAATAAAGTCTTTATAGAAAGTTGACGTTGAAATACGAGAAAGATGTTTCATTTGAGACTGATTAATTAGGATAGCTGAGATTGTTTCAGGGTATAAAGAAAAAAGGCCCTTAAGGCTCTATTACACGGAGCAATTTTCTCTGCAACTTGTCCCGCAACAGCGTTGGGACACAAGTTGCAAGAGTGTCTACACGGTACAACGGAGACACGATCGTTGCCAAAAGTAGAAAGGAATTCTACTTTTCGCAACGACGATAGTAATCTTGGTGCATTTCTTTCTCTTCAGGCTGTATTCRCCGCGGCTCATTCTACGAAGTGGGAGAGACATTTGCAGACAAGTGGTGTAGGGAATCATGTGTGTGTAAAGACATGGGGGTCACCGTCTGTAGACCCATTTGTCCCATGGAATGGGTGGAATGTGCAGACGGCTTACGGGCTGAGATCTACCAGGAACCCGTCTTGGGTGGGATGTGTTCTTGCCCTCGACATGTGTGTGTCGAGGATAAGTAAGAGGTATCTAATAGATGCAATCTTCTTCCCTTTCAACACTATCCTTATAACGTTTCAACGGTCAAACACAACACAGTAGGCTGCAAGATAGTTTTATAGGATTATTCAAATTTGAACCTTGCAGCCTCGATTGCCTCAGTAATGACGTTTCAGCTGTGACCGTGATGAAACCTCTCTCTTCCCCTCCCCTTTCTCCCACCGTCACTAGATTTGCCAAATCAATTATCAGAATGGTTGCACTTTGACCGATGCAACATACTTCATTATAGTCAATGCATAGTTGGATACTAAAAACAAAACAATATTAACATATAAAGTTTTGTATTCATGGGTTAAATGGACTATATCATCTATTAAAAAAGAAACTCCTAAAGTCATAACAAAATTTATCATTTGAATTTTCAGATTTTTCCCACAACAGCACCGGGTGATGTTCTTGTTTGATGTGTAATAAAGCCTTAAACCCTTAAAGTTGTTTGTTGTATATGACTCACTAGCATGCGTCAAATCCGGAATTTTCTTCGTAAATAATTCGAAGAAAATTTCGGATGTGACGCAGGCTACGAAGAAAATTTCCAGATGTGACACAGGCTAATGACTCACCTGTTTCACTCGTTTCATTCTCATCATGGCCTGTAACATGTTGTACTATGTAATCTGTAAATCTTAAATCAGCTGTTGATAGTGCCAAAACATCTTGTAAATCTTGTTGGTGAACCTCTATGGTACCAGATTCGAGCTATACAAATGTGAACAACAACAAAAAGATAAATTATCATTAGAAATGTTGTTGAGAATCCATTTCAATTTTAAATCGAACTAAAACAGTAAAATTCCTTTTTAGCCTGGGAGTAATGTAAATTCTCATTTCAGACCAGAATAAGATTTTTTGTTTCAGTCGTATCCATATTCATGTGGCTTATCATGCGCAACCATCAAACAAAGAAATGATGCTCTAGGGAATGAGATGTGGTCTGGAATGGGAAAACAATACACCCAAGGTAAAGAGGTCCATTGTGTTGCCAGACTAATGTACTCTCTTCTGGAAGAGAGGCCCCAGGTGTTGCCAGACTAATGTACTCTCTGCTGGAAGAGAGGCCCCATTTCACAGCTCTCATTCACTTGTTTTAACAATGTTTGCTCAGAATTAGCTTTTAATCAATAAACCTTTCTCGAATTCGCTTGGATGGCCACAAAACAATGGTTTTGAGATCAATTGAACTTGGATCTTTTATTCATCAAGTCCAACCATGACTTGAAACCATTGTTTCGTGGTCATCCAAGTGAATTCGGGATAGGTCTACTGGGTTGAAAACTTTTTGTTTGTTTTTAGAGGGTATCTGAAGTTAGTTACTGTTACTCAAATTCAACCATATTCCATGCATGTATAGATCAAGGAACTTTCTAAATTCAAATACTTACATCAACCATTACGTCACATATTGGCCTCTGTTGCCGGTATAAGGCATTCGACACTACAACAACAAAGCTGTCAACTTTAGGGTCCTTTAGGACATCCATTTGTTGCAACGACAGATATGGATGGAATACAGAGTTCTAAAAGAAATATCAAATTATTAATGACTGAAAACTAGCAAGTATAATTTTTCCCCACTCTTTTATTCTAAAAATCATTCATCAGTAATTGGCTGTGCCAGCAGGCAATATTTTCTATATTGGACTATAGTCCGATATCCTAGGATAACAGATTGCTAAACAACAACATCGACAACAATAATAACAACAACAACAACAACAACAACAACAACAAAATAATAATCATAAATTCCAAAACAAGACAAAGAGGAAATTTAAAAAAAGTTATCTATTGTCTTAGACTTGGTCTGGATAGCAAAAAAACTGTGCCCACAGCCTTGAAAATGAGTGAGTCCATATATTTGAGACATGTTTATCCTTAACTGGACCTCCTGGTCAATAAATAACCTCAGTCTACACTGAATATCTCAACATAAGACAAAAAATAATCTCACCTTGGTAAATATAGCTAAAGGAAACCCATACTGGTCTGTGTTGAGTTGATTATCATTCAAATGTGCCGGATACAAAGGGTCCTAAGAGAAAATGAAATATCACAGACTGTTAAACAAAGGGACAATACTCTAGGGAATGACAGATGGTGTGAAATCCCTTACAAAAGGGGCAGGTCTGCTTCAGCACTCCACTAGGTTCACCCATGACCATCTATGACCATTGAACAATGTGCGGTATCCAAAATGGTGAAAAGCACAGCAATAAATAAAAAACAATTATTCAGCTTACAGATTCATGGTCTTGATAGCAGTAGTTACTCTGTTCTGTTAATGCAGCTTGACCTAGACCATTCACTAATACCCCTGGGACAATTAAGAAAACATGCAGTATTAACTCTAAAATAATAATAATATGATACATGCAGCTTCATTGAATGCTGATTAATTTGAAATAATAACTTGCACAGGGAAGGATCCAGAAGTTTGGTCATAGGGGTTCAAACTGCCGATATGATTCTTCATGCGTAAATGTTTTACTGTAGTAAAAACAAAAAATCCGAGAAAATTATTACATATTGGATATTTTTTAATATAAGGGGGTTTGTAGTGTCATTTACAGAGGCTGGACTCTTTACAGGTTTTCTTATAAATTATTGTAAGGCATACCAACATTTGACAAGGAACATGGGTGGCGTAGCGGTGAGAGCACTCGCCTTTCATCAATGCAACCTGGGTTCAAGTCCCGCCAGGCATATCTTGTATGTGAGTAGGGTTGTTTGTTGGTTCTCTCCTGTGCTTCAAAGGTTTTCCGGGTTGTCCAGTTTTCCTTCCTCCACAAAAATCAACTTCTAAATTCCAATTGCAATTTCAGTGGATGAAGGGCTGCTCTGTGGAAATGCTACTGCTAAATCCTATTTAATTAATTAATTAATTTTATTTTTACAAGAAGCTTTTATTCTATACTTACTTGGTAACAAAGAAACTAATGACAGGACTTGAGAACAGGCATTCATGACGTGATAACCATAAAATATTACCTATATCAGAAAAAAAATGATATTGAAATTAAAGTCCAGGAAGATGCTCAAAGTTTGGTTGGGGGTGTGGTAGTCTCAATGGGGGAGGGGGGGTGGCTGTCAGAACTACCCTCACTAGAAGTCTTGTACTGGAGGAAAGGGAACAAAAGTAGTCATTGCTCACTGCCTCATGAGTCTTTGGAAAAAGTCAAAATAATAAGATAGTAAAAAAGATAAAGATAAAAGGAAACTTACTTTCTTTTCAAGAAGGAGAAGTTTAAAAAGCATTAAAACCTGCAGAAGAAATAATATTCAAACCTTTATCACTTAGCAGTTAAATAAAGTTCAAATAAATTTTCAAGAAAATGGGATAGAAGGATGGGATGGAATGGGATAGGGTAGGATGGGATGGTATGAAATAGGGTAGGACAGAGACAGGACAGGTAGGGAAGTATAGGATTGTGAAGAATAGGGAAGGAGGGGATGGGATGAGATAGGGTACGATAATAGGGTTGGTTTTAGAGATTTATTAAACATTTTCAATTTTTTTTTTTTTTGGGCATACACTCAATCTTTACCAAAATAACTTACTCTTTGCCTAAACTGGATGATGAGTTGCAAAGGTGATAAACCTAAAAAAAATGCAAAATAGGAGTTGTAGTTCAAATGAAATAGAAGGAATGAATAAGTCAGTTCATAGTGAATCCTAAAACAATTTCAAAACTTGATCTTGATTTCTATCAATTTGATATGAAGGCTGATTTACATGGTATGACTGTTCCTCAGAACAACTGTCATGCTCAGCATGCTTACATTAAGTTTTATCTGTCATTTACAGTTGTAATCAACTTGTACGTGCATCGATTTTATACAATCATAAGCAGTTTATGTCATTAACATGCTGCACATGAAAGTTGTGAGTAACAATCATGCAGTGTTAAATGTTGGGCTTTGTCATTCCTCAGGCTTCCATAAACGTCACAATTAAAACTTCTTGAAGGTAAAATACCTAATGACATTTTGTCCACCTACCCACGTGAAGGAGAGAATCAGTCATTATTTCAGGTGATAATGATGAATTTAAATTTTTATACAATTCCTGTGGAGAGAAGAAAGTATACAATTTAGTACATTATAGAATGATGAAAAGGTTTTGTTCAGTTCAAGAAGACTCAATATAAATCTTTTTCTGGCTTTTAAAATAAACTATATATTATATTGTAACTACACCAACCAAGGCCACATATTTTCATACAAATTAGCCACAACTTTAGAAATACTGGATATGAAACTACACTGTAGAAGAGATTCAATCAAATAATGTTATTAATTTAAATAAAACAGCTTTTTCTGTGCTTGGTTCACTAATAAAGCCGGAAGTGACGTAAAGCTTGCCTACGGCTCTTGCTTCTCCTTACTCTTCTTTCATGCTTACCATGCTTCCTAAGTGCTTCATTACTGAACGGAGCTATGGAAAAAGCTGTTTTATTTAATTTATTACATAGTTCCTAATTTTATTTTGGTTTTGAATTTATTTACACAAAAAGAAGGCAGTTGCAGGATCCAGTAGCACTTCGCGCAAGCGGATGGTGTCAGCACTGTGCTCCATTTTCTAATACAGCACAGTTTTGGACCAATCAGCACACATGTACTATCCAACTATAGAATAATAATTTACAAATAAACTATAACCAAACTTACTTCTAGAATTGCAACTTGGGAGAAATCTCTCTCTTCAAAATATACTTTAGTTGCTACTTCTAGTTTGGCCTGAATGTAACCATATAGTGGCTGGAAACAAATTACAAACAATCTTATTTCTTCAATTTTTCATTAAATTCTGTACATAATTTATTAACCTTATATTTTGATTAAATTTTTCAGATAGTAGGCACAGTTAGAATGTTTATATTAATTTTATGACTAGAGACCTCAGACATGAGGAAAGTGAGTTAGACCAGGACGTCACTACTTGGGCAATGACAAAATGCGCAGGCCATCGTCCTTGGCATTGCCCTTCTCTCTAGGGTGTTAAAAAGTACCAACTGACGTTCTAGTGAGGATGGTAATATATCTATATTATAATAAACAGACAATGTATAATAATTCTACTTACAAACTTAGATATAACACAGACACTTTTTTGGACAGTATGTCTTGTGATGTCTTCTGTCTTGTTCTTTAATTCCTACAAGTAAAGCTGAAATGTTTATTAAAAAGTTCAAATAGAAAATAAACTGTATTTTGTTCATCCTTCAATTACTTTATTGTTATCCAAATTCTCATACCCAGACTCTACTCATTTAGTCAAATTGTAGGCTCTGTGAAACCCCAACAGACCAGAAGCCACACAACTGCTCAAGCCATGATTATGAGGTTTTCCAAATTTAGCTAAGTAGAGTGAAATGAATTTTAAAACACTTATTCYTCTCAAACTCAGTGATTATGGTTAAAAAAAAGGTAAAGGTAAAGGCAAATTATTTTACTTTGATAATGCGGGGAGTGGTTGCCCAATTCTCCCGAGCCAAGGGCTCATGTTTAATGCACTCGAAGATGCACCCTCTACCCCCTCTTACTATCAGTGCTCCTTTTTATGGGTATTTAAAGCTAATTACAGCTACACAGAACAGATGAAAAAACTTACTGACGTTTCGGACGCTCTTTTACTCCGACGAAGGACTAGCGTCCGAAACATCAGTAAGTTTTCACGGTGTATTACCTTTTTATCATTACTGTTTCATTAGAAACACCGACGCAGCTCACACTAGTTTTTAGCTAGTTATATCTTCTTACACAGAACAGAGAGAAGTTGAAACAGACGTGGAGTTCCTGAGGATCGAACTATGGACCTCTAGCTCTGAAGGCCGCTCTGAATGGTTTGAGCGGAGGTGTTGAAGTTTGATGTGAAGTGTGATTGTCCAGATTACCAGTGGACGATCACACTTCACAACAATACTATAACGATAATGTGAATATTACTTACCTTTGTTTCAATTTTCCTGCAGCAAGAGACACAAAACAAGGTATTTTGCTTGCAACTGTTGGGTGTTTTTATAAGGCTTGGTAAATGAAAGTATGTTGTTTCTAATAATAAAACAATTACAATACATGAACTAGTTGGTAGAATTAGAAATGACTCAAGAGATATGAAATATACACTATCATTTACAAACTGTAGACTATTTACATTGCCATCCCATTACCATCCCCATAATTTTCATCATAATCAGCATCATTATGAGCATGACCATGAGCACTATGATTTGTCATCATACCCTTCACATACTCTGATTGATGGTAGTGTATTGTCTAATTTCCTTGTCATGACTGTTGTTTCGATCAGCATAGCAATGAAAACAGCTGTAAGTACTGAATATGATATTTATTACAAAAAGGCTAGTTACCTGAATCATGGTTGTGTGCGCCATCTGGCATGGCCATAAAAGGTAAAGTTTTCCATTCCACAGGTATCTTGCTACTCTTGTTGCCTTCTCCTTGGATTAGAGGTGGCAATGAATACTCAACCTAAACAATCAACAATAATATAATTATCCATTGTTATCAAAGAGTAATCATTCAATGTTATTTTGTAATTGATGGGTAAAGTTTATGGCATTAAAAAGTGTTATAAAAATATCACACTGTTCTATACATACTAGAAAAAAGTCAAGGCAAATGAGGTCACATGTGTGAGCAACAGCCTATTACCCGAGCAGTGTAAGGCAACCATTATTGGGACTTGATCATTAGCACGGCATTATGCCTTTTTAATATKTTATGAGCATGGGAAGGAGCTTAGGTTCCTCAATGTTTTTCTTGTATTAAAGAGGTAAATTAGACGGCAAGTAGCAAATCTATGAGAGAAGTATTTTTCACCTCTTGCAGCTCCACTGCTCACTCTCTAACCGGCCCATTCAAGCCACAAAAAATCCATTTGGCACCCAGGGTAGGGGCAAACTGATATAATTAATTAAGAACAAAGGCATGTGTGTGTAAAGAGGGAATTGAGATATTATTTGCTGTCAAGGCGATATTTGTTTATTTTATCAAACTTCCACCCAAAGAAAAATTTACAATCGAATATGTACAAAAACTAAAATATATTTACTAATAATAATAATTTAAAAGCGGTGGGGGTCACGCAACAGAGCTGTGTTTGTATTGTTTTAGCTTTAGAATAAGTTTAAGCTTTTACATCTCTTTAAAAAATACTAAGCTAAATTTTAAATTAAGCTTAAAATCAAAAATACTTTTAGCAATCTTAACAGAAAAGGAAAAAGACTTTCATATAAGCATTCACGGCTTAAATTCTTGTAGAAAAAATAAATAGTAAACTAAAATCTCATGAATAAAGTGGAGTTGCAGGATCAGGAGATAGAATTATTAAGATAATCAAAAATATGTTTTTACCTCCGATCCCCTTTGATGGTGAAAGCCAACTACGACTACGTGTAGGACAGGTCTTTTGGCGTCCTCGTCAGCCATGAATCTTAGTTCAATGGTATACTAAACCTGTTAAAGAGAAAAAATATTTTACGTGTCCTTTTGCAGGTCTACCCGACCGCCATCTTGGAAGGGACACCATTTAGGAAACTGGAACGAGATTTTCAGATGACGGCGGGAATATTTACATACAGGAAGCCCAATATCAAAAATTACTAACAAGTTTAATGCACTAGTAAACCCCCACCCCCCGACCCCCGCGAAATACCGGGGAATTTAACATTTGAGTGGTGTTAAAATCAGACATTTTCCCCGGTAGTCGGGGGCACATTCGCTGTTAAAACCYCCGCTATTGTGGCCCCGTTATTTTGGTTTAGTAGTCAACAAGAAACACATTTCACGCCAACTCCAAATTCTTGTGCTACACAGAGCCAATTGTTGTGTGTTCCATGCACTAAATATTCAATGCTCAATATTTTCATGGGCTCTGAATCTCAAATCGTGCGAAAACGTTAAGGTTTACGTCTAGTCAGCTGAGAATTTAATGGTATTAAATTGAAAATAAACAATGCTTGTAAATATTGCGAAGCAGTAGTTTTGATAGATTAATCATGATCTGATTCTACATTCGAACTGACCGAAACGACTGAACAAAACCCGCGTATAAGAACCTGGGTTTTAAGAACCTGTTAGGCTAAAATTCTCACTTTAAGACCCCTCCACATAAGAACCTATTAAGGCTACTATTTTAAGAAAGGTTCTTATCAATGGAGTTCAGTGTAAAAATGTATAGGTTGAAACTGCTATAAGTTTGTTTGAGCATGTGTTTTGTGTAGAACATACTGCTCTGTACTAGGCTACGGGCTGCCTGTGTTTTGAATCACAACGCCTTCTTGGTATTTTTCAAGATGGCCGACATCTTGTTTCCAGGCCCTTACATATTCAAACAGAATTTTACAGATTCCCCGCTGAGAAAACTATTCGTTAAATCCCCGAACCCCCGGTTCAATCATGCTCTTAAAAGCACATCAAAAACGCGTCACGTCCCCGTTCAGTGCCCCGCTAGCCGCGGGGGTCGGGGKCGGGGATTTCAATTGACTAGTGCATAATCCACGGCCACTACACTTCTTCCAGCGTTTAACAAGACGCTCTTGGAGCGTGCACTGGGTTGCCCAATGTGCTGGTATGCTGGAGATTATTTAACACATAATCTTTGTTATGTACCGCTATTTGGGGGGAGGTGGTACTTCGGAACATTTTRGGTGTATTTTTCTTTCAGAACTTCCTAACACTGCTGATGGCTGCTGATGCGGTTATGTAGACGAAGAAAACAACGTTGCGTTAAATTCGCCGTTTAGAAATATGTTTAAATAGTTATTTGTTTTTCGCTAACCGTTCTGAAGTTCTTCGATCTCTCCATTATTGATTATATACTTCAAATATTGTCTTTTCAAATACAGTCAATTCAAAAAATGTTGTCGTCGACCAGCTCAAGCCTACGCGACTGGACCGAAAGGAACTCTGGGTAGCAATCATTGAGGCCGAGTTGACTCCATAATTTTATCTGACTAGTTATGCCTATGGTTTACAGCACGAACCTTCGTAGGTGAGCGGGAAGTGTCGAAGGAGACGTTTTTTTAATGCCTTCATATTTTCGAAATTGTGAACTGAATCATAACTACTTTGTTTTTATTTCTCTAAACCATAGTTAATAGAGGGGAACCCCTCTATTAACTATGTCTAAACCCAAAGACATGCATTTGATGGATTGTTTCTAGCCATTATTATCTTATTACTAGCGGGAAAAATTAATTCAGAACGAATATTTAACCGCTTCAGTGATTTTTACCCATATTCAGTTTCGGTCCAGTCGCGTAGGCTTGAGCCGGTCGACGACAACGTTTTTTGAATTGACTGTATCCAAACCAGTGCAGTGGAACTGTGAAACTTGATTAGTAAAAGGATTCAAAACTTAGTGAAAAGTATTTRTGGCCAAAGTTACCAGCTCTATTGCCGTGTAGTATTTAACAATATATTCTTGTATATGCCTTATTAACTAAAGACTGAAAGCGGTATTTTCATTTAGGCTCTCCTAACCCACGCGATTGAAGCCAGAATACTGCCGACTGAGTAGCTGTATTAATACGGCTAATAAATATCTGAATTACAATCCTAGAAATCTTCTTTTACTGCTCAATTGCCCTATTTCACTGTGACGTCACTACTTGTTTGTGTGGGGGATAGAATCGCCAAATCCAATAGAAAATTCAACAAAATTTGCTCCTAGCGAAACAGTTTAATCTAAAATGGCCTGGTTTTCAGATATAATATGTGTTAGTAAGTGCTAGAAAATACTCTGAGAGTTTGCTGGCTATTCTACTTCTTTTTGTGGATTGATACGGGTTTTAGAACAATTTTCGGTGAATTCGCGTTGATTTGACCCCCACCGACGACTATGATCCTTTGCGTTTAAACAATAGATTGTTTTGATGTGACGTCATAGTGAAATAGGGCAATTAGAAGAGAAAGATCGTTTTTGCACATGCTGTGGAAAAGGTAAGATTCTATCTCCCAAATAAATTAAACTTCATTAATTTGAATTATTTTTTCACTCGTACCATTAAACTGCTTCGAAAAAAACTCATTTTTTGGAAATATACTGACTTATAAGCTTCAGTTTACTCTTAATAAAGATTTCAAAAACCTACTAATTCGTCAATACATCTGTTAGGCCAGATCGATTTAGTTGATATACGTGTAGTAACTAATTTTTATAGTTCTGCATTTGGCACATACGGTGGCCCATAACTGTCACGGCAAATCAAAACTCACACGGCACTACAAAATATATTCACGGCAAAATGACCAATTGTCACGGCAGTACACAATATTTCACGGCAAAATAACCAATCTTTGCGGCACTACGCAATTTTTCACGGCAAAATAGCAAATTTCCACGGCACTACACAATTTCACTCACGGTAAAATACACAAAGCCGCGGCACAACACAGAATTGAATCCTTTCAGAGTAACACAGGAAACCCAATGTTTAAGATGACAGAGAGAACAGCCCCATATTATTATACTATTTGTGACAATGAATYAGAAGAGAAAGATCGTTTTTGTACACGCTGTGGAAAAGGTGAGATTCTATTTCCTAAAATTAAATCAAACTCATTAATTTGAATCATTTTTTCACTTGTATCACAAACTGCTTCGAAACAACTCTTTCTTTTTTTTTCTTTTTTCTTTTGAGAACACCGAATTCCTTTTATACAAAGTCTTTGTATTAAAACTGCTATATATTTTGTAATTTATCGTATCATTCAGTTACTGGTTTATTTTGTACATTTACCGAGAGATTATCCGGCTGAATTCTCTGCGACAATGTTTTCTGAAATGAGTGTTGTGCSCTACGGTGGCCCACAAGTCTCACGGCAAAACAAACTAAACTCACGGCAAAACAAACTAAACTCACGGCAAAAGGCAATAAATTCACGGCAAAATAAACTTTACTCACGGCAGAATAAAGAAAGCCACGGCAAAATAAACTAAATTCACGGCAGAATAAAGAAAGCCAAGGCAGAACAAAGAAGTTTTTTGTCAGCGGTTTTGATGTTGTAAATACAAATGGCGTCTGGTTAAATACTATTAAATTTTACAATGCAAAGTTTAATTATCAATTTATCATAACCTTTAAAAGACTTTAGACTTCAATATTGACCCTGAAACAATAAGAACGCTTTATAATTATTCCAAAACAAAAAGTTTCAATGATAAGAACCTAAGCTTGACAAGAAATAATTAAAAATGAATGTATGTAATGAAATGAATGGTTTTAGGAGATATTTTCGAAGAGAAAAATCGGTTCAAGGTTTGTCATCTTAGTCGCCGGGTATGTGATTCCAAGCCGATCGGTTTTTGGATGCTCGATGTTCTAGCTCAATCAATCGCGTTTGAATAAAGTTATCAAATGAAATATCCACCACTTAGCAACATTTTGAGGCAAGTAACAGCCCTTATGTCTCAATCGCGTTTGAATAAAGTTATCAAATGAAAAATCCACCACTTAGCAACATTTTGAGGCAAGTAACAGCCCTTATGGTCAAAGGCCACCTTTCCTTATTTAGTTCTCGGATGTTTTGGCAGTCAGGAAACAAAACAATCCTTCGTTCGCGAGGGTTGCCAGTGAAGCTAACGTGGCCCCCAACTAGTTTTATCGACATAAATGGCAGAGACTTCAACGTACAAGTATGTAGAAATTGAAAGTATACACAGTGTAGATATAGGAAATCACCAACTACAAGAAAATCCACACCAAACCGGTGAGACAGATTTGGCATTCATAATACTTTCTCGCCAGGAGATGTTCACACAACGACGGTCAAATGCAAATGAAGCATAATGAAACTTTTACCCCACAATGCTTCACGCGACTTGATCACCCTCCTCTGATTCTGCCGTGGCTTTCTTTATATATTCTGCCGTGAGTTAAGTTTATTTTGCCGTGAATTTATTGCCTTTTGCCGTGAGTTTAGTTTGTTTTGCCGTGAGTTTTTGTTTTGCCGTGAGACTTGTGGGCCACCGTACCATTCGTAGTCAAGGAGTATTAAAATCAAAAAAATTAAAATTAAAATTAAAGTGCCTATGACACCTAACTAGATATTGGAAGTGTAAACATTGATATCTCCAACAAATCATATAACAATATTTTTTCCCATTCAACTATTCACTTCATGTAGAATCAGTGCTGAAAATATTGAGTTAGGCGTCATACAGTATGCACTTTAAGCTTTTCTATGCTCATGGAATTGCTTCCAAAATTTTTGCTATGATGGAAAATTGATATATCAACTTCCCAGTTTGTTTAAGGGACATAAAGTAATATTTTGATGCATGAGTAACAGGAGCTATGTATTGTTTTTTTTCTTTGCAAGTTTAATCATGTCTAAACCTAGAACCCAGTCTCCTAGTCTCTTTGCTTTTTTTGTTTGTTTGTTTGTTTTTTGTTTGCGTTGTCTTTTTTTACGGAGCTACGGAGCCCGTTAATACGGAGCCCGTTAAGGGCCACTCGTGAACGCGCAAGTTTTTTTTGAAAAATCCCGAGTTCCTAGTGTGAAAATCCCGACTTACGAAAACCCCGACTTACGAAAATCCCGACTTTACGGAGCCCATTTAGGGCCATCGACTTTTCTTTAGCTGGGCGACTTTTTTTTTTACGTTGGCGACTTTTTAAAAAATGACTTGGTGGACTTTTTTTTTCAGTGGTCGACTTTTTTTTAACTTAATCGACTTCTTTTACTTGGTCGACTTTTTTTTTTAACTTGGTCGACTTTTTTTTAACCTTGTCGACTTGTTTTATTTGGTCGACTTTTTTTTAACTTGGTCAACGTTTTTTTAGTTGGTCGACTATTTTTTAGCTTGGGACTTGACTCGTTACCAGTTCACCGCCCGGAAAAATAACAAGAACAATATGGATGTATGTTGCACCTGCTAGGTCTAGTGCAGTGCAGTGCAGTGCAGTGCAGTGCAGTGCAGTGCAGTGCAGTGCAGTGCAGTGCAGTGCAGTGCAGTGCAGT